ACCACAGATCCAGGAAGCTCAAATAACACCAAGCTGGATAAATGCCCAAAAAAGACACCTAGGAATATCATTTTCAAAGTACAGAAAATCAGAGCTAAAAACAAATCCTGAAAGAAGCTGGGCAGAGAGGGGAAGGAACACCTCATCTATAGAGAAACAAAGGTAAGAATTATATTGAACTACTTCTCAGAAATCAAGCAAAAAGAGAGTACAGTAAGACATTTCAAGTGTTGATGAAAGAAAACACCAACCTAAAATTCTGCATCCTGTAAAATTATTTTTCAAAAGCAAAGGAGAAATTGTTTTTCAGACAAACAAAAATTAATAGAATTAATTGCTAGTAGACCTGCTTTTCAAGAAATGTTGAAAGATATTATTTAGAAAAAAGGAAAATGATGTAGGTCAGAAACTTGGATCTACATTTAAAATGAAAAAAAAAAAAAAAGAAAAGAAAAGGAGGACCATCAAAGAAGGAATAAGTAAAGGTAAAATAAAAACTTATTTTTTCTTTGAGACAGGGTCTCACTTTGTCACCCAGCCTGGAGTGCAATGGTGCAATCTTGGCTCACTGCAACCTCCACCTGCTAGGCTCTCAAGCAATCCTCCTACCTCAGCCTCCTGAGTAGCTGGGACTACAGTCTTGTGCCACCATGTCCATCTTATTTTTATTTTTATTTTTTGTTTTAATTTTCTGTAGACAAGGTCTCACTATATTGCCCAGGCTGATCCTGGACTCCTGGACTCCTGGTCTCAAGTGATTCTCCCACCTTGGCCTCCTAAAATGCTGGGATTACAAGCATAAGCCACTGCACCTGTTTTTGTTATTCTTAGCTGACCTAATAGATAGCAGTTTGTCCAATAATAGCAATAATTATTCAATTATGTATGCTTATTCATATATCATATATATTTATGTTTATATGTGAGATGAAATGAATGACAGCAATGATACCAGGGATGGGAGGAAGGAATTAAGGTTTTGTTATTATAAAACAATCACACCACCTGTGAAGTGGTACAGTGTTATTTGGAAGTGGACTTGAATTGATTGTAAATATATATTGTAATCTAAGGCAATTTTTTTTAAAAAGTATAACTGATATGCTAAAAAAAGGAGAAAATAGAATCATAAAATGCTCAGTTGAAAATAAAGATAGATACAAAAAACCAGGGCAAAAAGTAGAAAACAAAAACAAATATGGTAGATATTAATCTAGCTATATCAGTAATCACTTTGAACATAGGCTAAATGTACCAATTAAAAGACAGAGATTTTTGGAGTGAACCAAAAATCAAAACCCACCTATATGTTGTCTAAAAGAAACCCAATCTAAATCTAAAAACATATAGGTTAAAAGTAGATGGATGGAGGAAATATAGCATGGTGTAATACTAATCAAAAGAAAGCAGGAGTGGCTATATTAATTTTAGACAGAACAGACTTCAAATCAAGGAGAGTTGTCAGAAATAAAGAGTATTACATAATAATAGAGGGGTCAATTCTTCAAGAAGACATAAGAATTTTTAATATGTATACACCTAAAAATAGTTGTCAAATTCATGAGGCAAAAACTAACAGAATTGCAAGAAGACATAAATGAGTCCATTATCATACTTGAAGACTTCAGTACTGACCTATCAGAAATGAACAGATCCAGCAGGCAGAAAATCAGTAAAGGCATAGTTGAACTCAACAGCACCATCTCTCAAATGGATATAGTTGATATCTACAGACTAATTCATCCAACAGCAGTAGAATGCACATTCTTCTCAAGCTCACATGGAACATTGACCAAGACAGACCATGTTCTGGGCCATAAAACACACCTTAACAAATAGGATAGAAATCATACAATGCCTGCTCTCAGATTACAATGGGATTAAAATAGAAATGAATAAGAGAAAGATAAGTGGAAAATCCCAAAATACATGGGGACTAAATAATATACATCTAGATAACACATGGGACAAGTCAGAGGACTGTCACTACCCAACTTCAAGATTTACAGTAAAGCCAAATCATCAAGACAGTGTGTTATTGACAAAAGAATAGACAAATAGATTAATAGGACACAAAAGAGAGCCCAGGAATAGACCCATATAAATACAGTCAACTTATCTATGACAAAGAAACAAAAGCAATACAATGGAGCAGATTGTCTTTTAAACAAACATTACTAGAACAACTGGACATCCACATGCAAAAAATAAATGAACCTAGACACAGACCTTACATCTTTCACAAAAATTAACTTAAAATGAATCATAGACCTAAATATGAAGTGCAAAACCATAGAACTCCTAGAAGATAACATAGGACAAAACTTAGATGATCTTGGGTATAGAAAAGACTTTAGATGAAACACCAAAGGCATAATCCAAGCAAGAAATAATAAGATGGACTTCATTAAAATTTAAAACTTCTGCTCTGTGAAAAACAATGTCAAGAGAATGAGAAGACAAGCCACAGACTGGAAAAAAATATTTGCAAAAGACACTGTCATGCAAAATATACAACTCTTAAAACTTAACACTAAGAAAAGAAAAACTCAATTTAAAAATGAGCCAAAGCCCTTTATATATATATCATCAAAAAACGACAAGCATATTAAAAGGTGCTCTCCATTATATATCATCAGGAAAATGCAAATTAAAACAATGAGATAACAATGCACACATCTATTAGAATGACCAAAATCTAAAATACAACAACAAATGCTGACAATAACATGGAGCGACAAGAATTCTCACTCATTGCTCTTGGGAATGCAACGTGGTACAACCCCTTTGAAAGACAGTCTGGCAGTTTCTCACAAAACTAAACATCCACTTACCATACAATCTAGCAGTTATGTCCCTGTGTATTTACCCAAGTGAATTGAAAACTTACATCCAATTTTTTAAAACCTGCACACAGATATTTAAAGCAGCTTTATTCATCATTGCCAAAACTTGGAAGCAACCAAGACATTTTTCAGTGGGCGAATAGATTAAAAAACAAAAACAAAAAACCTGTGGTACATCTAGATAATGGAATATTATTCAGAACTAAAAAGAAATGAGCTATCAAGCCACAAAAAGACATGGAGGAACATTAAATGCATATTGCTAAGTGAAGGAAGCCAATCTGAAAAGGCTTACACTGTATGATTCCGACTATATTACATTCTGGAACTGGCAAAACTATGAAGACAGTGGAAAGATCAGTGGTTTCTAGAGTTTGGGATTGGGGGTAGGGGTGAATAGGCAGAATAAAGGGGAGTGAAAATACTCTATATGACTGCAATGATAAATACATGTCATTTTACATTTGTCCAAACTACTATATGACTGCAATGATAAATACATATCATTTTACATTTGTCCAAACTCATAGAATGTACACCACCAAGAAAGAACTCTAATGTAAACTATGAACCTTGGGTGATTTTGATGTGTCAATGAAAGTTCAATTGTAACTCAAGTACCACTCTGGTGGGGGATGTTGACAATAGGAGAGTCTATCCAAGTGTGAGGTTAGAGAGTATGTGGGACATCTCTGTCTGATATGGTTAGGCTTTGTGTCCCCACCCAAATCTCATGTTGAATTGTAATCCCTAGGTGTTGAGGGAGAGGCCTGGTGGGAGGTGATTGGATCCTGAGAGCAGTTTTCCTCATGCTGTTTTCATGATGGTGAGGGATTTCTCACAAGATCTGAGAGTATTATAAATGGCGGTTTCCCCTAGTCCCCTGGGCTTCTCTCTCTCTCTCTCTCCTGCCGTCATGTAAGACATGGCTGCTTCCCCTTCTGCCATGATTTTAAGTTTCCTGAGGGCTCCCAGCCATGCAGAGCTGTGAGTCAATTAAACCTCTTTCCTTTATAATGACCCAGTCTGGGATAGTATCTTCATAGCAGTGTAAGAATAAACTAATACATTGTCCCTCCTTCTTAATTTACTGTGAACCTGCAACTGCTCTAAAAAATCATCTTTTAAAAAAATTCTTACTGTACCATTTACCTCCTCCCTGGTAGCATTTACCCAAATGGTAAATTTACATTGATTTGTGTGATTATTTGATTAATGTGTATCTTCCCCACTAAAAAGTAAATTCCAAGATTTTTGTTCACCATAAGTTAACTAGTGCTCAGCATATAGCAAGGTTTCAAAATTACTTGAATGACTATATATAAATTTACAAATACAGCAAATGTTTTTAAATTCATTAAACCATTATCTTCAATGCTTCTTTCATGATGATTTTCAGAGGAAAAGAGGAGTGATGCAGGGGAAGAGAAAGAAGTATCTGTTCGTATTTGTTTCCTGCGGTCATTTGGTTAAAGCCTAAGCAACATCTCTATGTTATAGTGGTTTGATAATAATAAGAGTTTGCATTTCTGCAGCACCTTTCTTCCGAAGTGCTCCTATGGTTTGCAGACAGATCTCAGCCTCACTTTGGAGTGACTCTTCTACAAACGATGCTAAAAACAGATCTTGTCTTGCTACTAACCAAGCCTAATGAGTTTTCTCTGAGAAGGTGCCAGGTCCCCTTCCAAAGTACTTACCCTGTATCTTTTTATGATCATCTCACTTTCTTAATACAACCACATGATGTCAAAGACAACAAAAGCAACCATCTTTGCAGGAACTCTCAAAAGGAGCCATTTAGGGTCTCTGCACCTCTTTTCTCTAGGTAGGCAAAAGGGTTGTGATCCATCCCAGTGGGTGGGGTGGGAATGCTTGTTTTTACCTAACCTTTATTGAGCACTTACTTTGTGCTAGTCCCTTTATTGATCACTTACTTTGCGCTGTCTATGCATCACCTGGTTTAATCAAAACCAGAAAAGGGTCTCCGGGCGTCCAGCGTGGGTCTGATGTGATTACCAGCTGGTTGTCAAGGCAACTTAGCCACTTGCAGGCCAGGCCTGAGCCAGGGAATAGGGAAGTGGGTCTCCCCGCTTCCCCTGCAAGCAGGTGAAGGTTCAGTCTCCAGGGCCACCCCCCACTACCCAACACGCTTACCCTCCTGGCTCAGCGAGGGCAGAGTGGGCAGCACCTGCCTGCCCAGGTCCTGCAGGGCATGGGCGATCGTATCCAACATCTCCAATTTCCAGGTGACTCCGTACTGAATCTTCGATGGGTCTCTTCTCTCTTATATGGAGTGTATACAAAAATGATTCTCCCACCCTCCAGCCCCTTCTCCACGGAGCTTTGGATGTGCCTTAAAAATCAGAATGACGAAAATCCTGAATCTGTTGACTCTTTTTTCCTCTTTCTTAAATAAACTTAAACATTCTTTCTCGCCGTCCCTCCCCACTGCCCTGGCTCTCCGGCGGCTCCCACCGCAGGAGCCGCAGGAACTGCTGTCTGGCACTGAGTGAGAGTGTGCAGACCCGTGCCTGCCGGACCAGGGAGAGACCCAGTGAGGGGTGAGCTGCAGCCTCGAGGAAGGGAGGGGCACCAGGGAGAATAGGCCCGACAGGAAAGGGCGGGGCGCGTTGCTGGGACGCGAGAAAGACTGGCTCGGTTGCTAAGGCGTCAAGGCTGGGATTCGACCCCACCCCCTTAGATGGGTAGCTTCCAGGTTGCCTAGGTGATTCGGAAGCTCGAGGCAGCGAGGTTGGAAGTAACTTAAAGATAAATAAATAATTGGTTTTTACTTATCGGACCCCGGGCAGCGAAGAAACGTGGTTAGAGTGGTAGTTTTTGTACCTTGGACAAATTTAGGAATGCCTTTTGCCCAGAGCGATGGATATTTGAGTCTCCAGATCTGTTTGAGAGTTTGAGGTCGAATTTATTTCTTTGTTTACTTTTCCCTGGGCTCTCTTCCTAGGAAATGGAGAGCTGGGGAAGTGGGAAGGAGGGAATTGACTTTTTTTAAACGACAGTCATTTCCCCCTTTTCTCTACATGTCACCAATCTCATCCTGAAGAATTGTGTGCATACTCTCCCCTCTGCTGATAATTATCACAAGCTGAAGATACCTATGCAAAACCCATCCAAGTCAAAAAATAGAATGCTAGCACATTACACAGATCAGCACCTCATTACCCCTCCAGTCATTAGCCAACACATACTGCAGATTCATTTTTCCTGTTGATTCTTTGGAATCATATATTATGTACTCCTTTGTGTCTGGCTCTATTCAAATTCACATTATGTTCATGAGGTTCATCCGTAGTTTCTATGGTAATAATTTCTTAATTTACACTGTTGTGTATTATTCCTTTTTATGAGTATGGCACAATTTATGCATTCCACTGTTGAAGGGCATTTGTGTTGTTTCCCTTTGAGGCTACTGGGAATAATGCTGCTGCAAACATTCTCATAGAACACTTTTGACAGATACATGTACTCATTTCTGATGTGTATATAGGGATAGGTTCATGGGTCATGAGAAATGCATGTGATCAATTTTAATAGATAATGCCAGCTAATTTTTAGTGGCAATATCAGCATTATTGTTCCATATTAAGATAATGGAATTATAAAAATAATTGTTTTACATTGCATTAGATTTTGAATTAAATATAGTGATACTTTTAATCTCTAGAAAAGCTGTCTTCAGTTCCAGGAGATGGTGGTGGATGCTAATTATCAGTGAATTGCAGATGGCTAAAGGAAGCTCTAAAAGGAATAAGGACAAAGACTTTTCTTCCAAGGTCTTATTTTCCTTTTGTCAAAGGTCTCCTGACAAACGAGGTGGTGTAGATATGTGTAACCCTGTGTTGACTAGAAACTTTTAATGAGCTATAAATATTATATATCCTGAAAATACATAGTTTTCAGTTGCTAACAAAACTCAGGCAAACCATGTACTTCCACCGCTACAAATTTACTCCTTGGCTATATTGGCATGATACATACAAAGATATATGTATATGCAACATTGTTTATAATATTAATTCTTAGAATCAGCCTAAGATGACCATCATAGGGAACTGGTTAAATTGTGACTACATACATTAGAATACATTTCAAGAGTTTACTTAAAAGAAAACTGCACGTTTATGTGCTGATGTTGGAAAAGTTTCAAAATATCATAAGTAAAAACCAGTAGCAGCATAGTATTTTTATGTAATGTAATCCTGTTTCCTTCAAATATAAGCATATAAGTATGCATACATATTCGTATATATTTTTGTAAATATATGGAATATTTGAGGAAAGATACATTCAAAAAATATCAACAGTGGAATTTTGAATCACACAAAATTGTGTATGGCAGAGGAGGCATTTCAAGAACTTTTATATTCACTTTTCTCCTTTATTTACTGTTTAACAAGAGCATGAATTACTTTATAATATTTAAGATAATTTATCAAAGAGAGGAAGAGAGAGAGGTACAGGTAGAGTGTAGGAATTTATGCAAACACTGAAGGAAACAAACAGGGCCAAAATTTTCCCAAGTATTTCAATGTACATTTACTTTTCTGCAAGCTCCAACTTGCCTTGCAAAACCCACACTGAATGGGCAGTCATTTTTACCCAAGCCCCAAGGCACACACAATATTAAGTGGCTTATGTTAAAGGCAACTTGGAAAACTACTGAAAAAGAAAGCATAATACTCATTTTACAACACCAGAATAGAAATTTGCAATAAATAATTTAACCCACATCTATATGGAGTGCTTAATTTGTGTCAAGCACTTTGCTAGTTGCTAAAAGGAATAGAGACACTTACCAGAAAATCCCTACAGATAAGAAGTTCACAATTCATTCTTCACCATTTTAACAAATATTTATTGCAGGAGGTTCTAAAATCAGGATTGGGTTTCAAAGTCAAAGTGTAAATTGAAAATTGGATGTGGGAAAACTACTCTAGAAATCCCTTCTTAGGAGGGGACCATATCAGAGACCCACATATGCCATCTCTCAGTTTATAGACCCAATGCAAACAGTCTTTCTCCCCTCACACTGGTGCAGATCACTTTCTTCAGGAGAGGTGTAATGAAACAGTTGGCTAGAGTTTAGGAAAGCAGTCTTATTCTAAAAATTCAACCAAATAGAATTAATTGTATGTACTCAACATTGTGCCATACTAACACTATGATACGCACTCATGAACTGAAACAGATTGAAAATATATCAGATGTATATCTTCTGTCCCTTGCTTACTCAAGGATTTATGCAGAAACAGACTTGCAGTAGCTTCATAGAGTGTTGACTTAGCTAAGATAGAACTACATTTTCCAGAATTCCCTTTCCTGTATGATTCTAGGTTAGGGTTAGTCAAAAGAGAATGTGCATGAGATTTGGAAGGCAGAAGTAAAGCAGCAGCCATTTGATCTGAAGCCCTAAAGGTCATCATGGGGCTAGGCACTGATCTGCTGACTCACCATGTAGGCATGGGCCAGCAGCCTGGCCTGCAGCTCTGCAACTCCTGCCAGATCTCCTCATTCTGCTTCTCTCAATCTTAGACCAGGTGCATGTGCAGCAGTGTTGCCAAAGGCACTGCCTAATCCTGTAAGTCCCTCACATCACTGAGGTTGGATGCAAGGAAATACAGATGTAGGCTGCAATTTGTCCTCACAGGATCTGGTTTGCCTGTGTGTAACCGCCCAATGGGTTCTTCTTGCCTACTGGAATGAAACCAATTTATCAAGATGGGGGAGTTGCAATAGAGAAAGAGTTTAATACAGGTAGAGCTGGCTAAATGGAAGACTAGAGTCTTCTTATTACTCAGATCAGCCTCCTTGAAAATTCAGAGGCTAGGGTTTTTTACTTTGGTGGGAAAGGAGCTAGGGAATGGGGAATGCTGATAGTTTGGGTCAGGGATGAAAACATAGGAAGTTGAAGCTGTCCTTTTGTGCTGAGTCAGTTCCTGGTGGAGGCCACAAGACCAGATGAGCCGGTTTTTCAGTCTAGGATGTGCCAGCTAATCCATCAGAATGCTGGGTCAGAAAAATTGACTCAAACATCAATCTTAGGTTTTACAATAGTAATGTTATCTATAGGGGCAATTGGGGAGGTTAGCAATCTTGTGGCCTCTGGCTGCATGACTCCTAGGCGGTGGTTTCTGAGCTTGTGGCTAATTTGTTGGTTTTACAAAGGCCAATCTGGTCCCCATGAAAGGAGGAAGTTTGTTTCAGGGAGGGACTGTTACCATCTTTGTTGCAAAGTTAAACTATAAATTCCTCCCACGTTAGTTAGTTCAGCCTATGCCCGGGAACGAACAAGGGCAGCTTGGAGGTTAGAAGCAAGATGGAGTTAATTAGGACAGATTTCTTTTACTGCCATAATTTTACTATGTCAGATTTTTCTCACTGTCATAATTTTTGCAAAGGCGGTTTCACTTGTGGGTTCCAGATTATTCTCACCAGTTGCAATCTTTCCTTATTCTTCCCCATTTCATGACCATCTTTTCTTCCTATTAGCGTTGCTGGCTTTAGGCACTACACTAGACACAGAGGCCAACACCAGGCAGAGATGACTTAATCAGCTCCTACAACTGTGTAAGGGCTAGTGCTCATAATAAATTTTATATTTTCTATCACTCTTACAGGTCCTGCTTCTCTGATTGAACCTGAATGATACAGGACTGGTAGTTAAAACTGAACTATTTCAATTTAAAGTATTCTCTTTAAGTTTTGCTTAGACTTGAATCCACATATATTATGTGTTTGTGCACTGCAACTGTATTGTAAAGATTTGTTACCTTAGTCTGTTTTGTGTTGCAAAGGACTACCTGAGAGACTGAGTAATTTATAAGGACAACATATTTATTTGGTTCACAATTAAGAATGGCTGGAAGGTTCAAGATTGGGTATCTGCATCTGGTGAGGGCCTCAGGCTGCTTCCACTCATGGCAAAAGGCCAAGGCAAAGGGGAGCCAACTGTGTAGAGATCACTTGGTGACAGAGGAAACAAAAGACAGGTAAGGGAGATGCCAGCCTCTTTATAACAACCAGCTCTGAGGAATTAATAGAGTGAGCACTCCCTACCTAGGGAGGTCGTATATCTATTCATGGGTTTTGCTCCCATGACCAAAACACCTGCCATTAAGCCTCATCTCCAACATTGGGGATCAAATTTCAACATGAGGTTTGGAGGGGACAAATATCCAAACCATAGCGTATGTTTAATGTCATGTTTGAGACATGGAGACAGTGTAATGGGAATTTAAGGGGAGGAAATTTATATCTCTATTAGGCCATTCTTGCATTGCTATAAAGAAATACCTGAGACTGGGTAATTTATTTTAAAAAGAGGTTTAATTGGCTCATGGTTCTGCAGCTGTACAAGCATGGTGCTGGCATCTGTCCAGCTTCTGGGGATGCCTCAGGGAGCTTTTACTCATAGTGGAAGGCAAAGCAAGAGTAGGCTCATCACATGGTGAAAGCAGGAGCAAGAGAGAGAGTGGGTGGGGGAAGGTGCCACACACTTAAACAGCCAGATCTCACAAGAACTCATTCACTATCATGAGGATAGCACCAAGTTATGAGGGATCCACCCCCATGATCCAAATGCTCCCTGCCAGGCCCCACCTACATGCAACATGGGGATTACAATTCGACATGAGATTTGGCAGGGACAAATATTCAAACTGTATCAACTTCTAACTGGGATGATTAGCCTGAATGCTAAACAAAGAAGCTTGAATTTTATTTGGAAGGTGTGGATAGTTCCTGAAGGCCTTGAATAAGAAAATGACCTAATCACCACTATATTCTTCTGTATTATATTATAAAGAAGTTTGAATTTCATTATATTAGTAATCCGTATGTCAGATAACAACTAATCAGAGAAATTTCTCGGAGAGATAGGGGAAAGCTACCAAATAACTAAAAGGATAACCACAGAAAGACTGGCTACGGAATGATTAGTGTGATTGAGTGACAGCCATTTAGAAGCTTTTGACAGATGAAACTGCAAAGATGCATTCATTTTCTTACAACACAAATGAAAAAAAGTAAATTAGCTAAGGTGATAAACGAGATTACCTTGAAATTAAGCTGTGGAATGATCTCCCAAAGAAAAAACATAGAAAACTCATCAAGTCAGACTATTTGAAAATAGACCATTTCAAGTAGGAGTTAACACACTATCGTTATTCTACCCGGACTCTTTGCAGAATAAAAGTCACACAGTCGGGCTTTCTCATGTTTAATAGATGTTGTCTCAATGAATAATAAATATGATAATGATACCCATGCATATAACATTATCTATTTATGAATAGAAGAGAAAGTTAATATTTAAACTGTACTCATCTGACCTACACCTTTTATAAACACTTTGCACTTTTTTTCCATTTCACTTAAACTAAAGTGAGGAATTCGGCATTTGGAAATCTGAGCTCAAGTCTAGTATTAACATAAATAGGTTTGTGTTTATAACTGAATAAAATCTTAATATTTCTGAGCCTGCTTGTTGTTAAAGTAGTAATAATGACTATAAATGTTAACAAGTATATCCCAGTAAACTTAAAGAAATAATGATAAAATTAAAAATAGGAAAAAAGGCTCTTTGGATCCCCAAAATTCTAAGCCTGCAGATACTTGCCCCATTTTACCATAAGATTATACCACTTTACATGGGCAAAACCAAATGTATATTCTATAAACAAAAGAATGCCTCTTGACTTAAAATGGAGACTACTGATAAATAAATATATTTTGAAAAATTGTAAAATAAGTGACCTTAGGCAATGTATGGTAAGTTGGTCAGCCAATTCACTTCACACAATATACAAAAATTAACTTAAGATAGGTCATAGACCTAAATCTAAAAGATACAAAAGTTCTAGAATAAAACGAGAAAAATTTTGTGATCTTGAGGTTAAGCAAATATTTAAGACACAAAGCATGAATGATAAAGTCAGAATTTATCAAAATTCAAAACTTTTGCTCTTTAAAGGCATCATTAAAAAATGAAAAGAAAAGTCACAGAATCGTAGAAAATATTCACACTACAAATACCTGACAACTGATATACAAAATGTATTTTTAAAATCTCCCAAAGCTCAATAATAAGAAAATAATTCAATTTCTTTATTGGACAAAATATTTGAACATACATTTTACAAAAGCA